GAGAAGTTTTACAATCTCTCATCATGTGCCCTGGCTGTCGGCACCTATAACACACTTTCTGGTCCCTTAGACACTCTCCTGAGTGCAAACCTTGCAAGAGAATTGAATTTCACTGAGTACTCCTTCACGGTACTAGACCCTTGTTGTAAGCTGATAAATTCTTGGACCTTCTCATGAACTTGGTCCTCTGTTCTATACTCGGCCTCAAACTCTTGCCTGAACTCTTCCCAAGTCATCGTTGCCATATCATGGGTTTCTTCCATTAATTCCCACCAAATTCGGGCATCACCCCAAAACAAGAAACTTGCATACCGGATTTTCTTCCAGTCTGTCATGGGAAATAAACCTGTCGTACTTTCTACGGACCTAAACCATTCTTCTGCTGTTACTGGATCCGTAGTACCCTTAAACTCTGAGGGTTGATGTTGACTGGAAAGACCGTAAATCGGTTCAACTCTATTCTGTACTGGGGGAGGTACCAGTTGTCCTCTTTCGACATTAGTAACTGGGGGTACCTGCTCGGGGGGTTCAACTCTCCCTTGGCTCTCTGCCATAACTTGCTATATAATTCCCGAATTCGAGCTTCATCCAAAGGAGGGGGCGTAGGCTCTGGTGGGTTAGGTGGGTTAGGTGGGTTAGAAGGTTCTCCTTCATTCGCCACACTCTTACCATGCGTTCGGTAACTACGCCTCATCTACAAAACAACCACATTTGCTTAATACGAGAAACACTTAGAGTAAGGAAAGAATTAACTCACACAATCGGTTCTTGGACGTCGTAGCGATGAGAATAGTACACTGTTAAATCCTAAAATCTCAGCTCTAATACCAAAAATATAACAACTGCTGTATACTAGTAAAATACATGTATAATAATAAAAGTAAATGGGCCCAAAAAATTTCTTGTATTACGTATATACATTCTTTGTACAAAAAGAGTATCATTTACAAAATAACATTCAAAAACAGGGGAACAGTGTAGCTATTGCTCCTCGCTTGCCGACACCCCTCCGATTGCATCCTCACCTAGATCCTGCACTCACAAAGGAAAATAACGGGGTGAGCACAAAATAATGCTCAGTAAGTAAACTGCTACTTGTCTATCCCCGTAGCTCTTTCTCTTAATTCTTTCCTTACACTTATTAAGTTTCTGTTTCTCTTTCACACAGTTTTCTTTTATTAACTTCTGTTATATGTCATGGCCTCATCTTACCAGAGGCACGGTCGGGTGGAGTTCACACAGCACTATCCCACTTTTCATGACTATCAGATGAAGATCACTAAGCACCAACCCGTTTCTCATAACTATCGGGTGGAGATCACAAAGCACCAACCCGTTTCTCAGTGTTCTTCTCACTCATTCTACTCTAGCACTTCTCATCCTCTCTATTCTTAGAGTAGTTCACTCACAAAGTTTTCTTCTCTTAGAGCAAGTACATTCACAAGGTTATCTACTCTTTCTTAAGTCACTTCTCAAAGCACAATTAATGCAGATGAATGGTTTATCTTCACTAATGCACTTATGAAATGCCAATATGCCATGTTGCAAGAATTAAGGTTTACTACTCATACTCAAACCTCTCTTAGGCATTTCATCAAACAACTAAAGTGCATACAAAGACTCTACTATAACACTAGCTCTGTTTCTTTCTCTAACCATCCCAAATGGGAGAAAACTCCCTCCCATAGCTATAAATCCTGCCAAGGAATAACACTTCTAAAAAGGTTTACTCAAAACCTTCCAAACTTCATCTCAACTACATCTTCTCATCACATATCAACACTTCTCTTAAATGAAGTGTATTCAATTACAACATGGATCAATAATCTCAATTTCATAGCATACAACATGCACATAACATACATACATAATTGCTATTAAATCTCTACTCAAAAAGTTCTCAAACCTCAACTTGGGTGGGGATTTACTTACCTTAAAATGGAGGGATCTCACTAGCACTTCCTTTCCTTTGGATTGCTTGACTTGTCTCTACCCTTTAAACAATAAAACCATGAGACTGCCACATACAAATATATCCAAAACCTCACAAAATCTTACACCCAAAGCAAGAATCCTTACCTTAGGATGCTTTAGATTGATTTTCCACCCCAGTCACTCCAAAAGCCCTTTAGAATCCTTGAACTAATGAAAAAGGAATTGAGAGGAAGTAAGAAAGGAGAATGGCGGTGGAGAAAAAGAATGAAGGGTTTGCAATGACTTAATTCCTTTTAACACAATTTATGCACAAGCATTCCCATTTTGCCCTTACTCTTCCTTAGGAATTCCATCTATATCCTTTGATTCATTACAAGCACACCCCCACACCAACATATTCTCCAAGAATTTTCCTTACATTTTACTCCCCACTTTTCCTACTAATTAGGGATATAATGGTCAAATTGTCTTTAGGGAAGAAAATATCTAAAACTTAACAATATTTTCAACCGACCTGTCGCCGCGGCAAAGAAGGTTCCATCGCTGCAGTGATACTTTCCAGCAGCTCCTCAATGGCTGCAACACCTCTTCGCCGCGGCGAAGATTCTTCTTCGCCCCGGCGAAGCCTGGAACCCTAAAAACCTCTAATTTCAACCAAAAGCCAACCAACCAATATTATAATAAACCGACTCAAACAAGAGCAAATAAGAAACAGTAGCTACGTACCTCAAGTGGGGCATTACATATACCAAGCTCCCAATAATAGTATGGTATAACGTAGGATCTGACAAAGGTAAACCATCAGAAGAAGAATACTTTGCGTTAACCTCAATTGGAGTATCTACAGTCTTATTATTAGTAAGTCTAGCCCGCTCAAGAATATCTGCAACATATTTCAACTGAGAAAAAAGATAACCTCTAGGTGAGTAGGCTACCTCAATACCCAAGAAATATTGTAGAGAACCCAAATTTTTCATTTCAAACTGTCTAGCTAACTCAATCTTTAAAACTGAAATGTCATCAATATCATCACCAGTAATAATCATGTCATCAACATATGAAGATAGAATAATACGACCTGCATCAGTGCACTTAACAAAAAGAGCAGAATCATGACTACTAGGAGCAAATCCAAAGGAAGAGATCACAACAGAAAATTTCTCAAACCAAGCACGAGGTGCTTGTTTAAGACCATATAACGCTTTCTTGAGCTTGCAAACATACCCAGAATCATGTGAAACACCAGGAGGGGGCACCATATAAACTTCTTCTTAAAGATCTCCATTCAAGAAGGCATTTTTAACATCAAGTTGAGAGATATGCCACTGACGAACCGAAGCTACTGCAATAAGAGTACGAATAGTAGTCATTTTTGCAACAGGAGCAAATGTCTCCTCATAATCTATACCATACTGTTGAGAGTACCGTTTTGTAACCAGCCTAGCTTTGTATCGCTCAATCGATCCATCAGAATTAGTCTTGATCTTATATACCCAACGACGACCAACAACAGTCTTACCAAGAGGTAGAGGAACCAAATCCCAAGTACCTGTCTTATGCAAAGCAGAAAGTTCCTTATCAATAGCTTGCTGCCAAAAAGGATCAAGAATTGCCTCTTTATAGGAAGAAGGCTCATAGAGACAATGAATAGAAGCTAAAAAGGAAGCAAAATATGAAGAATAAAAAGAATAAGCAAAATCAGGTAACTTTGTGGACTTATGAATGCGTATGGATTGACGTAGAGGTGGATCCACAATCTCAGACAGAGCTTGAGGGACCATAGGAGAAGATGGAGCTTCAGGTGTGCCAGAGAGTAAAGTGTCAATACCTGTAGAATGATCAGCATGAGAAGGGGCATTTGAAGTACTAGGAACTTGAGATGACAAACTATCAGAATCCTCAGAAAAGGGATCTATACGAATAAGATCAGATCTAGTCAAGTTATGAGTAGTGGATGAAATAGAAAAGAAAGGTATATGCTCAAGAAAAACAACATGATGAGACACATAAAGTTTCTGAGTTATTAGATCAAAACAACGATACTCCTTTTTACCTTCACCATAACCAAGAAAGACACAAATAGCAGATCAAGAGGACAACTTGCGGCGTTCTACATGAGGATGAAGAACGAAACAAGTACAACAAAAAACTCTAAAGAAAGAATAATCTGGGGCATACCCATACAACTTTTCGAAAGGAGAAAAACCTGAAATATGAGAAGATGGAATTGTATTAATCAAACCTACAGTAGTAAGAACAACTTCCCCCCAAAACACACTAGGAACAAAAGCAAACAACAAGAGAGAACGAGCAGTTTCAACAATGTGCCTATGTTTTCTTTCAGCAACACCATTTTGCTCAAGAGTATCTGTACATGAGGTTTGGTGAACAGTTCCATCTAATGTAAGCAACTCACAAAATTTATTAGATGTGTATTCCCCACCCAAATCACACCTAAAACATTTGATAACAGCAGAATGTTGGGTTTTGACAAGAGCTCGAAAGGCTATATATATCTCAAAGAATTCAGAACGATGTTTCATTAAATAAACCCAACAATAACGAGTATGATCATTAGTAAAAGAAACATAATATCGAGACCCTCCTTTTGTGGCAACAGGAGAAGGTCTCCATAAATCAGAATGAATCAAATCAAATGGAAAGGAAGAAACAGAAATACTTCGATTAAAAGGTAAAGCTGAAAATTTTGCCAATTTACATCCACTACAATTAGAAGTATCACAAGCTTGCAAATTTCCTAAAGCCCCTATGGACGCTAAAAATCTTAAACGAGAAGATGAAACATGACCTAAACAAGAATGTCATAAATAAAAACTAGAAGAAAAAGGACTCAAACGAAAAGAAGACAAATCAACACTAGTAGCAGTAGCAACTGGCACTTTTAACTCATCCAAAATATATAGTCTCCCCTTCCTACGGCCTATCCCAATCAGCTTCCAAGACTACAGATCTTGCACATAACAAGAAGAAGAGGAAAAGGTGACTAAATTACCAGAATCACATAACTGACCAACAGAAGCAAGATTTAATGTAAGTTTAGTGCAAATGAAATTAAACAACATCCTTTCTCCCGTGGAATCAACTGGCCTTTGATTCGCACCATGGTAGGAGAGGACTACTTGCATTTTACCATATTAAATTCTCAAACAGCAAATGATTTAATATCGAATGTTTCTCTATGCCTAGCAAATGATTTAATATCAAATGTTTCTCTATGCCTATGTAGAGCCCGCCTCCACTAGATGCACCTCCTGAGTTAATTGAAAAAGATTTGAAAGCCAAAGATGTCAAGTGGGAAGATGATGGAGTGCTTGTTAATCCTGTAGATTTGGACCTTTTCTAAAGGTTTGGATTAACAACCATTTCTATGTTAAACATAGACTTTAGATTGACTCTGCTCTGCACTCCCTTTATTGCTAATTCATGTTTTCTCTTATCATATGACCAGAAATGGGATATAGACAATCAAGGTGAGATGGAAGAGGTTCTGTCATCGTGTCATATCATCCTAAACCTAAAGTAAAGCATATAGGTTGTTTTTATTTGATTTCCGTGGAGAATTAAGACTTTGCCCTGTATTTAACCATGTAATATAACTCAACACTTCCCATCTCTCCCATTCTTTTTGAGACTCTGCTATGGCGTAGTTATAGATATCCAGCTTTTGTTTCATTTTGTGATTCTGCTATGGTGTAGTTGTAGATATCAAACTTCTGCATAACCAGTGAACAAAGTGTTATAAATAAAGCACGATTCGTTATTCTCTCTGTCAGCTCACAGATGCACAATCTAATCTTGAACCATGCATAACAGGTCAAGCATTTCAGTTCCTATAAAAACATAAATTTTCCATTCCTCAAATTGTGAGAATGTGATAACTTACAAATTCTCACCCTCTACACTGCCTTCTGCATTGCCATTAACTTACAACACCATTGCTGTCAAAATATGCTCTTAATCAAAGTGGTATCTTTTGGTAATTTAAAGTATATAAGAGACAATCATTCAAAAAGAACATGTAATATATATCCAGAATATAGCAAAATCAACGACTCACTAACAAAACATATTGTTGCTTTGCAAATTACAGCAAGAAATACAAGCAAATGTTGCAGTTGTATAGTGTCTTTACATGAAAAGGCTTGGATCAGCTGTATAGACGCATCAGCCAAATTTATCACACTGTTAATACGCAAATCTGATGAGCAACCAAATATACAATTCTTACGAGATCCTTACCATGCAATTCAGCTCTTGACAAGGAAATTTGAGATGAAATTGAATACAGATAGCACTTCAAAGTAGACCAAAACATGCACAACCACAATTATGTTACCCTACTTGGTGGCTTGTGCAATTATATTACTTATTAAACTGGCCTGTTCTTTTGCAGTCTCCACCAATGAGTCCTACAAGATAAAAAAAAAAAAATGATAAACTGAAAAATAAAAAAATAAATGAAAAATTGACAACAAAAACCCACTGTGACCAAGAAAAAGAAATTATACCTAAGCAGCTATTAGACGTGCAACTATTTTCTTGCTTGACTCTTGAAGTTCACCGGTAATCAAGAGTTCATCCAAAATATAATAGGCCTATAACATAAACGACTATCAGCAATTAGCAAAGACACAGATTTTGGCATCCATGCAATATAAACTGATCTACGCTAGATAAGCAAGAAGGTATTAAATTAATAAGGTATTTTGGGCAGTCACTTATTGCATCAATCACCATTTATGATTTGAAAAAACCCTTTCAGAAAGGTAAATCCCAATTGCACAACAAGTCCATTGCAACATACCTCGTGAAAGTTGAAGATCAAGTCCAGCTCACAGACCTGGAAGCAAAATTAGATTACCACAAACATCAGTTTCTATACCAATCAAATGGAAATATACACTTTAATGCACTTAGTGATCTTATACAAAGTAAAGTCAACTTCACTCACACTTCCAAAGTATCTATCAAGAATCTCAACATAATGATGAATTATTTCAAGAACCTCTAATTCATTGTCATCCTGATCAATGCACATGCAGAAGTATAGACTAGCATATTTGCCAAACATATTCATTGGAACCAACTCAGTTGATCATCTCTATGATGGCGAAACATATTCATTAAGTCACAAATACTGTCATATTTGCATATACCTTTTATAAACAACTTTGTATCCTCTCCATTCCATGAAATTACAGAGCTTGGGTCCTCGTGAAAGAATGACTCCACTAAGCTCACGAATAACCTTCTCAAACAAAGCAGTAGTTCAAACAAATCATCAATGTAACCATAGCTATTAGAATAAGTTGAGAAAATGATACCACAATGATCATTTATCCAACACAAGGCAGGTCCTTTGAAAATAAAATTAATAATTAAGATCTAAAGAGAGAATATCTGAGCAACATGGATTTAAAACCATACCTTAGTTCGTTCCTTTTATGAATAAGGAGAATACCATTTAGTCAACCGGATTTTTCCTTGTCGGCTAATAAGAAGCACAAATTGCATCTAAAACATATTGAAGATAAAAAATTATAGAACATCAGCAAAGTAAAACCATTAATCTTCATTTGGCATTGGCAACATAAAATGAACAGGATTTAATAAATCAGAGTTGTCGGACATAGCACAACCTAAATGATTGTGGCATATCCAATCAATAACTTGTAAATGAATACACATCATTTCAATCATTATTTTGAAAGCTATTATTGGCAATGGTTGCAAGCCCTCAACCAAGCTAAACAGCCTTAATCTCAACATCCAGTTGCTCTTCAACACATGTCAACTTTATAACACACTATCAAATTCTTAGCAATCAAAACATGTTCTTTCAATCCATGATTTTTTCCCCTCAACATCCATTGCCATTTCTAAAAATTTTGATATGGTTTTTTTTGTAGTCAACTTAAGCCAAGCTTGAGAAAATGACATAAAACAATGGGTCATCTTCCAATAGCCATATGCTTAGTATTGATAAGCTAGTTCGAGCTTAAATTTCACCATTCTACATACAAAGACCACCATTCTGACTAGTTTTCTATCAAATGCTTCCATATCCCTCTAATACAATTTATTCAATTTCGTCTTCCTAACTTTCTGTTTAAAAACAAGTAGTTCAAGAATGAATAATCCACTAGGCAGGTCTCAGAACTTCTCAATAAATGTTAAACTAATATCTTTGTCGGCTGAAGACGAATTGAAATTCATAAACTTTTATTCTACGCCATACGCTTCAATGATCTCTAATTCAAGATCTTAGCTAGATTGATACATATAATTAACGAACTTGTCAATACATATTACTGAATTAGCAAACTTGCATTTTTAGAGAGCAACCAATCCATCATAATCCCAACATTAACTCAAACATTCACTCAAACATTCATCTAATAATGCGATATGAAGTCAGATCTACAGTGACAATATATCACCTAAATATAAAAATCAGTTCAAGAACAATGCCTCAGTAGAACCAAACCCCCAAATCTAATGTAATTTTCATAAATGAAAACTCCAAAGAAGTTATTCAATAAAAATAAATAAACGTGGTAGATCAAAGAAACGGAATTCGATGGATCAATCCTCCTTAAGCTAATAATCAACAACCAATGACAATACAATTTCACATACCTGGTTTTCCGACTAATCAACAATACAAATTATTTACCACATTCAAATATGCTTGTTTCTGAATCCTTACTAATGTTTGCAATACTTGATTTACATCCTGCAAAAGTTCATATTTCTTGCTTTTATAAAATGATTTTTGATAACTTCAAGTATTTTCATTATTATAGGTCTTTCAAAATTAAATCTCTCATAACCATTTCTTCACTATTTATTTATCACATGATTTGATATATATACGGAGGACAACCCCAAGCTATTCTTTGAGCAATTCATTCTAAGCTTGTTACAAATGTATTCGATTCGGGAACCTCTAAGAACTTAGTAAGAACATCTCCAGCTAGTTGATAAGTTGCATAATTTGAGTGTTTTTCGGGTTGTTTGATGTTATTTATTTAATTCTCATTTGTTTTCTTTGTTTTGATGTTTGTTTTTGTTAATTTGAGATATGAATGGTTACCTATTGATTTGGATAACTTTCGTGTTTTTTTAGGCTTTATTGAGTAGATTGGAGTATTGGAATGAAATTGGGACTTAAAGCTTGAAGAAGTTGAGATTACCTAACATCTTGAGGCCACGACCATGCCTTGGTAGTTCACCATGGCCATGGTGGTGGAACAAAGAGAAAACAAGAAACTAGGAAACACCACGGCTAGGCTGTGGTGACTTAATTTGGCCACAGCCGGTTGTGGCGAAAACTATTAGGGCGTTTTTATCAGTTTTTCTTTCCTTTTCACTTATGACTCTTTTGCATATTAAGTATAATTGAGATCAGTTGTCAAGGGACAATTTTGCATTTTTTTGAGAGGAAAGACTGCATTCTTGAGGCTTGAAGACTGAAGATCAGATTTTAGAGTTTGATTTTTATTTCTTTCAAGTCTGAACATATTTTTCCCCTTCTTCTCTATTTATTTCTTTGTTCTTAGGATGGAGTAAATTTCTTTTGTTAGGGGAGGATGAAACCCTAATTATGTTTTGAATAATTTTTATTCTTAATACCAGATTTATGTTTATGAAATTGTGCAAGAGTTTAGGTTTAATGCTTTATGAATGTTGGATTGATTCAATTACCTTAATGATGTTTCGAATAGAGAAGTTAGGGTTTATTGCTTAATTCATAGTCATAATTGTTTTATTGGAATAACATTGCACATCATATTAAAACTAGAAATAATCGAATAGAGATTCTAGGATTAATTTGTGGTCCATCTAATTCATAACCGAATAGGGCGAATTAGTCGTAAGGGATTGATGAATTTACGCTTCTTCATTTCAGAGCAACCGAATAGGAATCTGTATTAAGTTGAATATTATGCCTGAATAAGGATAATTGGCCTTAGAAGAATCCTACCAATTCATAGCACAAAAAGGTATAAAGAGTAGTAATCAAGCAAAATTAGAGGAAAATATATACCATAACTTCATTAATAATACAAAATTCTTCACATTGTTTATTTGTTTAATTTAGTTATTTTTAATTGTTACTTTTACACTCTAAGATTTCGTATTCTCAAATAATGTGTAAGTAGTTCTAAGTAATTACAAATATTCACTTTTGAACAATTTTGATTTTTACATTGTTTATTTGTTTAATTTAGTTATTTTTAATCCATTACTTTTGTTAGGAAACGATCCAATTACGTAGCAGAAAACAAAAATTTACAACAACAGATCGTTCTTTAGAACCCAAAATCAGGGCACAGAAATTACAATTTATACATTATAAGAATCTGCAGAAAAACTCAGTTTGAAGTTTAGAAACCATACCCACGTTTGGAGGCTCCTCAACTTTGTCTTTGAAGGTATTTGCTACCGACCCAAGTGTAGGATCGAAACGATGTAGTCCACACGAAT